CTACATAGAAAATCAAAAGAAGTCTACAAAAGCACTCCTAGAACTAATAAGCAAATTAAGAAGGCATCAGGATACAAGATAAACACAAAAATTAATCATATTTCTACATATAAGCAATAAAAACATGGACGCCAAAATTAAAAATATAGTGCCATTTATAACTGCTCAAAAATGAATTAACTAAGTGCAAATCTAACAAAACATGTACAGGACTTGTATCTGAAAATTACAGAACACTGAAAAAAGAAATTAAAGGATATATAAGTGGAGGACCCTACTGTGTCAATGGATTATAAGACTCAACATAGTGTGTCAATTCTATGCAAATTGATACAGTTTAATGCAGTTCCCATAAAAATCCCAGCAAGAATCTTATTTAGATATGACAGAGTTATTATTCTAAAATGTATGTGAAAAAGCAAAAGAACTGGAAGAGTGAAAATAATTTTGAAAAGACTAAAGTGGGAGGAAGCAGTTTACTTAATTTTATAATTAATCATACAGTTACAGTAATCAAGACTGCGTGGCATTGGTGGACGGATAGACACACAAAACAAAGAAGCTGTAGATAAACCTTCCCAAATATCCTGATTTCTGAAAAAGATGCAAAAGCAAGTCATTGGAGGAAAGAGAGCCTTTTAAACAAATAGTGCTAGAGTAATTTGACACAGTAGGCAAAAATATTAACTTCAAGCTAAATTTCAGATCTTATAAAAACTGAACTCAAAATAGACAAAGAATTTAAGTGTAAAACTTATAACTAGAAATCTTCTAGAAAAAAAAAGCAGAAGAAAATATTCAAGCTCTAGGGATAGGAAAATAGGCAAACTTAGATTTTGACGTCAAAAACACAAGCCATAAAATGAAAAACTGATAAATTGGACTTCATCAAAATTTAAAATCTTTGCTCTACAAAAGACCCTTTTAAGAGAATGAAAAGACAAGCTATAGACTGGGTAAAAGTATTTGCAAACTACATATCTGAAAAAAAGACTAACATATAGAATATATAACTAACTCTTATTAGTCAATGGTTTGAAGAAAATTAGAAAATAGGCAAAAGATATGAAGATGTTTCCCTGAAGAGAATATACAGTTGAAAAATAAGTACATGAAAGATAGTCATCATAATTGGCCATCAGGAAATGAAAAATAAAATCACAAGATACCACTGCACACCAGTCATAATAACTAAAAAAATAATGACAATTTCAAATGCTGGCAAGGATATGAATGAAATGGGTCACTCACACATTGCAGGTGAGAATGTAAAATGGTACTGTCAGTCTGGAAAACAATTAGGCAGTTTCTTTAAAAACTAAACATGCAACTACATACAACCTATCAGTTACACTTCTGAGCCTTTCTCCCAGTGAAATGAAAACTTATTTTCACATAAAAATCTGTACACAAATGTTTACAGCAGTTCTATTCATAATAGCCAAACCCCCTAGAAACAACCCAGATGGCCTTCAACCAATGCATGGTTAAACTGGTACATCTATATTCTATTATTAATTTCCTACTGTTGCTGTAATAAGTTACTATAAACCTGATGGCTTAAAATGATTTATCTGACAGTTTTGGAGGTCAGAAGTCTGAAGTGGGTCTCATGTAGTGGCTAAAATCAAGAACTGGGCAGAGTTGTATTTATTCTGCAGGCCCTGGGGAAGTGTCCATTGGCTTGCCTTTCCCAGCTTCTAGAGGCTGCTATATTTCTTGACTCATGGCCCTTTTCTCCATCTTTAAGAGTAGCAGTGCAGCAGTCTCTCTTTGACTCTGATCCTCCTGCCTGCCTCTCTCCTCTAAGGATCTTTGTGATTATATTAGGCCAACCTGATAACCTAGGATAATCATCCTATTTTAAACTCCCAACTTAATCACAGCTACAAAATCCCTTCGGTCTTGCAAGGTCACAAGATCTAGGGATGAGGGTATAGCTATCTCTGGAGGGGTTATTATTCTGCCTACCACACATATCATGGACCACTATTCAGCAATAAAGAGGAATGAACTATTCAGTACATGCAAAATCCTGGATGAACGTCCAGAGAGGTATGCAGAATGTAAAGCTAATCCTAGAAGGTTAAACGTTTTATAAATTATTCCATATATATAACATTCTTCAAATGACAAGCTTACAGTCAGTGGTTACTAGAGGTTAGGGAAAGAGTGGGGACAGAAGGGAAGTGGGTGTGGCTATAAAATGGGCAACATAAGGGGTCTTTGTAGTGATGGAAATGTTCTGTATCTTGACTGTACCAATATCGGTATACTGTCTGTGATATTATACTACAGTTTTGAAAACTGTTACCATTGGGGGAAACTGGGTAAAGGGTACACAAGAGCTCATATTTCTAAAAGTGCATGTGTGTCCATAATTATCTCAAAATAAAGTTTACTTTAAATAGAAAGCAGAGGGAATGCTTTTCAAAAAATTGTATGAGGCCTGAACTAACTTCATACCAAAGCCAAAGACATTATGAGAAAGAGGTAAACATTTCTTGTAAATAAACACAGATGCAGAAATCCTTACCAAGATGTTAGTAAATCAAATCATGAAATATAAGATAATACATCACAGTCACATAGGGCTCATCCCAGTAATGCAAAGTTGGTTTGAACATTCAAAAATCAATGAAGTTCACTATATTAATGTATTAAATAAGACAACCAAATGATCTGTGTAAATGCAAAAAAAATCATGTGGCAAATTTAACACTAATTCTTGATTTTAAAATATCAGAAAAATAAGAATAAAAGGGATTTTCCCCAACCTAATAAAGGGCATCTAAGAAAAATTTAACATCATATTTAATGGTGAAAGACAATGTTTTCCCTCTAAGTTTAGAAACTAGGCAAGGATTTCCACCCTTAGCACTTTTATTCATCACTGTTAATAAGATCCTAGGTAATGCAGTAAGTCAAGAAAAAGATACATAGATGGGGCCTCATAAAAGAAAAGGTTTGTTGATTGATTTTTTTCCCTTACAATAAATTGGATCTTTATATTTAATATTATTTTATTAAATAATCAGCTATTTTTAGGGAAACTTTATTATTACATAAGTGACAAATTGCATATAATAATGAATTATCACACAACTGCAGGCATGAGGAAGACCGTATTGTCTCAGAAGCTTGATTTTGGCTCAAATATACAAGTATTATTTTACAGCCTCTTTTCAGAAGCCTCCTCTGAAGTGGAGGTTCCAAATAAACAGAACGGTTTTTCTATTTTATCCCAATAGCAGCATTCATTTCAGCAGACCCTTAAGGAAGTCTACCAGAAGCAGCCTCTGTTCACCTAATTTTGATGTGGTTAAAATGATAAACCCTGGTGGCAGATACAGGATACTTGTACCTCCTACTGAATCTTGAAATGGCTGTTCCTAGAAAGTTCATATAGAAGTCATTAGCCCATTTCCTATAAATCAGGAGTCAGAGGGTTAGTTTCTAGCTGTCATTTAGGACTTGAAGTATGTTCGTCTTTTAAAGGACATGTGCAACTCTCTTTAACAGTTCCAAGAGTGAAGAGAAAATGTTGGACCTAGAGTTACATGGGGCAATCTCCCATCCCACAGGCAAGGAGACTCCTGGCCCCAGGAACACCTCTCACATTCTGGCAGTCAGCACTTAATGGGTGGCCAAGCTGTCTTAGTCTATCTGGGCTGCTATAACAAAATAACAGAGACTGGGTGGCTTATTAACAGTAGAAATGTATTTCTCACAGCTCTGGAGGCTAGGAAGTACAGGATCAAGGCACTGGCAGCGGTTATAGTGTGGTGAGAGCCCACTTCCTGGATCACAGATGGCCATCTTCTTACTGTGCCTTCACAAGGCCGACCAAGGGAGGTCTCTGGAGTCTCTAATCTCATTCACAAGAGTTCCACCTCATGATCTAAGTACCTCCCAGAATCCCCACCTCTCAATACCATCACACTTAGGGGGTTAGGATTTCAACATATGAATTGGGCAGTGGGGAGAAGAATGCATAACAGGTCTTGTTGGGTACCTTAAACCCTGTGCAGAAACCACTGCAATAGAAATGTGGTCATCAACAAATTGCCAGAGATGCTTGGCATAACCAGTTACAAAGTTTAAAGATGCTTCTTGGTGAACACCTTTCTTTCATGTAGCAATTTCATCTAGCAATTCAAAGAGGGTCCCTTAAAGTTGACTATGTATCTAAGCTTGATTTTTCAAGGAAACCCTTGATTTGGGGGATACAGATCTCATAGGCATCGATTTCTTATGCTTCTAAGCTGTAAGCAAAAGCCTGCAGGGCTGCTGCAAAGTCTGGCGGAGAGTTGTGGAACTTCAGCTCTAGGGTAGGGATGAGCCAGCGTGGAACCCACAGGTGGTCTGAGGTCCCCAGTGGACCTTAACTACTCTCAGTAGATACATGGAGACTCTGATCACTAGGGCAGGGAGAGTTTGAAAGGACTAGCCTTTATGAAACAAACCTTTCAAATCAAGTATTAAACATGAAAGTCACTGTGTCACCACTCCTAGAGTCATCTCCTGTCTGCCTGCATGCCGTGAGCCAGAGGTCCCCAAGGCCAACTGTTTCTGGGGACTTGCTGCCCCCTCACTCTTTCCCTCTTGCTCTGTCTTCAGAGGGAGCTGACTATGACCGGTGACATGGAGAACTTACAGAATGCCCTGTACCTAGACACAGTGCCAGAGCCCTGGGCCAGGCGAGCCTACCCTTCCACAGCAGGCCTGGCAGCCTGGTTTTTGGACCTCCTCAACTGAATCAAGGAATTGTAGGCTTGGATAGGAGACTTTGTGATGCCCTCCACTGTGTGGCTGACAGGCTTCTTCAACCCCCAGTCCTTCCTGACTGCCATCATGCAGTCCCTGGCCCACAAGAATGAGTGGCCACTAGACCAGATGGCCCTGTAATGTGATGTGACAAAGAAGAATAGAGAGGAAGTCAGGAGCCCTCCTCAGGAAGGGGCTTACATCCATGGCCTCTTCATGGAAGGTGTTCGCTGAGATACACAGGTAAATCCTGAGATGAGCCAAAGGGCATCCTGTGTGGGATGATACGTATTGTCTCTATTAAGTGTGATTACTCAGAGGGGTACCTGTGAACCTTTTAACCTAAATCAACTTTTCTTGAGGTTGTCAAGCCATTTTTATGCAGCCAGGGATGCTACAAAGAACACAAACTCTGCAAAGTGGAGTGGTTAAAAGCATGGGTTCTGAAATGAGGCTGGCTGGATCTGAATGCCAGCACCACCATTTATTAACTCTTTGACCTTGGGATGTAGTTCTGTCTCTCCAAATCTCAATTTTCAACTGTCAAATGTGAATATAGAGTTGCTGTGAAAATTAAATGAGGTAATATATGCCTGGCACATAGGGAGTGCTCAAAAAGTGCTGGAGTCATCTATCCCTCTGCTGTCACCTGGGGTTGTCAGTTCACTTCCCTGGTCCATTTTCCTCATTCATAAGCTCTAGGTGAGCGGGAATCTCTTCTACCTTTTATGTTGTCCCTTGTCAGCAAAGGGGTGTCAGTAGATACCATTTTAATGACATTCTGAAAGGATTCTTCACTGAGGCCTAATACAAAATTGAGTCACAATAGGATTAGAGATACTTTGTTATGAATAGGAAGCTGGCAAGCAAGCAATGATGGCTGGGATAAATGACATGAACAAGGATGGATAATTCTAGAACAAGTTTACATTTATTATATGCATGATCTGAAAGGACTACTTAGTCAAATAACCCACTTGGCAAGTGACATTCAACTATTCCTGGCCATCAATACAAAGCTAATGGGGAAAAACTGTTAGAAAATCTAGAAGGTCCTAGGCCATGTAAATATATATGGGGCTGTACTGGACTGGAAAATATCCTCCCAAAATTCATGTCCACCCAGGACCTCAGAATGTGACCTTGTTTGGAAATAGAGTCTTTGCATATATAATTAAAGATGGGGGTTATACTATAGTAGAGTAGGCCTTAAATCCAGTAAGGTCATATTGGAGACACAGAAGAGAATGCCCTGTAAAGAGAGAGGGAGAGACTCAAGTGATGTATCATATGCCAAGGAATGCCAAGGGGTGCCAGCAGCCACCAGCGGTGAAAAGAGGGGCCTGGGACAGTTTCTGCCTTAGAGCCATCAAAAGGAGAAAACCCTACCTACACACTGATTCAGGACTTCTAGCCTTCAGAAATGTGAAAGAACTCATTTCTGTTGTTTTTAAGCCACCAACTTTGTAGTGATTCATTACCAGGAAACCAATCAAGAGCCAACAGAAAAGACAATAAAGTGGGACAGCGTTAAAACAGCCTGACTCCTGAGAAGGAAATCAGCTCTCCTCTCTCCACATGAACATTTCTACAAGAATCTGTCAGTGGTGACCACACAGATTGTATTACATGCAGGGTGGCCTAGGGAGAGCCAGAGCTAAGATACCAAAAACACCAAAATGAGGGAAGTACAAAATAGATAAACGGGGAAGGAGCTCAGAAGGAAGAGTGGTGGCACTGCGGGGGTGGGAGGTGATGCTGATTCTAATCTGTTTTTTCATGAACTTGTTTCTGAATAATAATAAAAACTTCCCAGAAAGCAATACCTGCCTACCCAGAACTCATTCTCAAAGTTTCTATCCCAGAAAGATTTCAGCAAAATGGAGGAGTAAGGATGTCCTAAAATCCTCTCCTCCAAAAAACACTAAGAACACTGGCCAAAAAATTGTCAGTATCAATTTTTTTCAGAACTCTGGAAATCAACTAAAGGACAAGAAGTGTTTATTGAAGAAAAATGGCTGAAATCTCAGCACGAGAAAGTTCTGTGACCTTTAACCTGCCCTATTCCCATCCCTTCCCCTGCCCAATTCTGGTAGCCTTGAAAACCAACAGGTCACATTCACAATGGAATCAGCAGCCTAGAAGCCCCTGGAGGGAGCAAAATAGAACCTTCAAAGCCCCATTCCCAGGAAACTGCCCTTATCTTCCCTCTCTGGGGGGGGGGTCTCTGCAAGTCTGCACTGGAGCTCACTTCTGTTACCCATCATGCTTCATATCACCCTCTAACAGAACTAAAGAGGCACATCCTTGCCTTTAAATAAATTTCATGGAAAATGAATCAAATTCTACTTACAGTATAAGGGGCTCAGAGTCACCTGGACACAACTGGGAATCTGTGAATCACTCTGGATCAACCATTTCCAAAGGACCTCAATTTTCAACTGTCAAATGGGAATATAGAATTGCTGTGAAAATTAAATGAGGTAATATATGCCTGGCACATAGGGAGTGCCATAGGAAATAAATACATTGCAAATAAAAGGGACCTGTAGTCAAGTAAGTCTGGGAAACACAAGGTTAAATAAAGTTCAATTGTTTTCTTTACCTCTAGGACTTCTCCTTGTCCTCTGTGTGCTAGTGTACACTATGAAGCTTTGAGTCCATTTCCCAAGCTTATCTGACCAAGGAACCCTTTTGTTACTCAGAACATTTCTCAGCACTAGTAGGAAAAACTTAGACAGCTCTCTTGAGACATCTGTCTTGCCAGTGGGTTTCAACCCCTGGGCAAGTTCACTATGGATTCAATGTGACCAAATAAATGACAGTAGAACATTCTTGGGGTGAAAGGGTTATACCCAACTTTATTCCCATGGTGGCAGGTCAATCACAAGACTCCCGTCCACTCAGAGCGAGTTTGCAGGCAGCAAGCCAGTCTCTGCCTCTGGACCTCTGTGCCCACACAGCCATCTCAATCTCTGTCCTCGGCGCTGCCACCACTCCAGCCTCTACTCTCCTGCAGCCTTGCAGCTGTGCCACTGTGTCACCAAGAACACTGGGCAGAGCTCTTTATATAGACTCAATGATGACATATTGCTCACACATGTGTAGTGAGCTAGCCAACCAGGGCCTGGTGAGAATGCTGGCCACAGGAACCTTCACTTTATCCACAACATCTCAGAAACCATAAAGAAGCCCATTTGGAAAGCTACAGAATTAGGTCTCTATTACACGAGTTAACATAGAACATAGCTGTGTCTGCTCAAAAAGTCAAAATGTTTGAGGGTGGATGAGGTCAAAAATGAAACTGATCAGGACACAACCAAAACCTGAAAATCTAGAGCATTTGCTGGCAGGAGCTGTGTCTTACCCATCTTTAAATCCACAGCACCTAGCACAACATCTGGCAAATAGTTACATTCAATATGCTCATGAAATGAATGAATGAAAAAATAAGAGGGGGTTGGGAAGATTCAAGATGGTGCCATAAGAGGTGAGACAGAGACCTGCTCCCAAAACCACATATAATATGAAAATATAGATAATACAACTAATCCTAAAAGAGCAACAGGAAAGAAGGCTGCACCAGACTGCATACACCTGGAGAACAGAGCAGACCTCAGGGAACAGGGTAAGGTACCAAAGCCGTGATCTGGTGGCACCCAAGCCCTTCCCCCACCAAAGTTCGCCTTCAGGAGGAAGAGAAATGGAGTGGGGGAGGGGGTGGAAGCCTAGGACTGCTGAACACCCAGCCCTGGAGATCTGCTTTGAGAGCACAAACCTACATTGCATGGTGCTCTGGAGATTAGTGGGGTTTGAAAGCTATGACAGGCAGAATACATGAAGAGACTGAGATTCCAGCTGTTGTGGAAAACAGGGATCTATGTCCGGCTGCAGTGGGACAAAAGAAAGGTGGGCAGTCTGAGAGACTTCCTAACAGTGAGAAGGTTGCTAAAGGGGCAAGGATTGCACAGAGCTCACTGCTCAGGACAAAGGAAAGGTAGACAAAATTGTCTGGGTACACTCTGCTCAGCAGGTTGGGAACTTTCAGGAGCTTCAGGCACTCCATTCTGCTGGCTGGCTACTCAGCTCTGAGGCCCCCCACTGTGATATGCAGCCTGCTGAGCCTTCCTCCTGGCCCGCTGGCACCAGCTTGCAAACCAGCAGACCCTGCCCTGGTGTTAGACTAGCCAGAGACCCCGCCTACTGCAGCTACAGACACAAAGTGCAGAGGCTTACACCTGTGTGCTCGGCCCACTGGTTCTGACAATGGAGACAGGCACTACAGCCGGGAAGCAGGAAACAGCTCTTTCCTTCCCTCCAGGCACCAGCGCTGCTCCCCTGCAACCCCTGACATCATTCCAGGGACTGAGCAGCTCCAGTGACTAGAGGTCTGGGCACTAGAGGGTGCCACATGCAAATATGAAACATCAAAGGAACCTTGTTCAGACAAGAATCTCACAAACACCAGAAAAGGGCCAAATGAAACTGAACTTACCCATCTTCCTGAAAGAGAGTTCAAAATAAAAATCATAAACATGTTCATGGAGGTAGAGAAAAATATTCAAGAACTCACAGATGAATTTAGGACAGAGATTCAATCATTAAGAAATTCCATATCTGAAATGAAACATACAATGGAGGGATTTAAAAGCAGATTAGATGTAGTAGAAGAAATGGTAAATGGAATAGAAATTAGAGAAGAGGAATACAAAGAAGCTGAGGCACAGAGAGGAAAAAAAATCTCTAAGAATGAAGGAATATTGAGAGAAATGTGTGACCAATCCAAATGGAACAATATTCACATTATGGGGGTACCAGAAGAAGAAGAGAGAGAAAAGGGATAGAAAGTGTCTTTGAGGAGGTAATTGCTGAAAACTTCCCCGATCTGGGAAAGGAGATAGTCTCTCAGGCCATGGAGGTGCACAGATCTCCCAACACAAGAGCTCCAAGGAAGACAACACCAAGACATAATAATTAAAATGGCAAAGATC